CCTTCTGTGACAGTTGCGCTCTTACTTGGACCAAGATGCCCTACGCACTGTTACTCATGTGCTGGTCACTTCCTGTCTTGACTACTGCAACACTCTCTACCTAGGGCTGCCCTTGAAGACCACTCAAAGGCTTTAGCTGGTGCAAAATGCGGCCGCGCAGGTTGTGATGGGAGCGTCCTGACACTCCCATGTTACACCCCTCCTGCGCAGCTTGCATTGGTTACCGGTTGCCCTTCAGGTGAGGTTCAAGGTGCTGGTTATCACCTATAAAGCCCTTCATGGCCTAGGCCCGGGATACCTGTTGGATCCACTGCAGCCAGCAACAATCCCCAATCTCTATCCCACAGATAGAGCTTTCTCTGTGGGTGCACCCACCCTCTGGAACCAACTTCTGTTGGAGCTCCAGATGGCCCCTGACCTTCGCTCGTTCTGCCGCGAGTTGAAGACCTGGTTGTTCCGTAGCCTGGACTGATGGGGGTGGGGGGGTTAATGAATTTTAAACTGTTTTAAACTGGGTTTTAATTCTATATCGTTTTAATAGGAATTATGCATTTTACTGTTGTGAGCCGCCCTGAGTCCTCGGAGATAGGGTGGCATATAAGTTGCATAAAATAAAATAAATAAATAAATAAATTTGAGAAGGAGATGAATGGAAAACCACATTCAACTGCCCCCTGGGCAGCTTCCAATTTAAGGTCATGCCATTTGGGCTCTAGGGAGCCCCCACAGTTTTCATGCAGCTAATAAATGAAGTGCTGCATGAGCATCTGTATAAAGGGGTCCTAGTAAGGTGTTCACCAAGCTAGACAACATTCTCATTTTCAGTGAGATGCTGGAAGAGCACGTAAAGCTAGTGCGGCAAGGTATTGAAAAAACTCCTGGCCACAAAGCTCTATGTGAAGCTTCCTAAGTGTAAGCAGCCACGATTCATGGCTGGGCGGCCATTTCAGCTTCCTAAAAACTCTTCACCTGGCCCGACAACAGTTCTGGTGGCTGAAGATGAAATCTGACATGGAGGACTATGTAAGGAGTTGTGCCACCTGTGTCTCCATGAAGATGACACCAGGAGTCCTCCAACAAGTGGCTAACCCCAGCCGACCATGGGAGGAGATCACCATGGACTTTATAGTCGAACTCCCAGAGAGTGGGGGAGTACAATCATTTGGATGGTAATCGATTTATTTTCTAAGCAAGCTTGTTTCACTGCTTGCTTGAGATTACCCTCAGCCAAAAAACTGGCTAAAATGTTCATCAAGCAGATTTATTGGCTACACAGAGTGCTCTGCCGGGTGATATCAGACCAGGGCGTCCAGTTCACCACTAAGTTCTGGAGGTAGTTCCTGAAATCTGTCGGACTGCTTTTCATCAGAGCACAAACGGAGCCATAGAATGTATGAACACAATGATGAACAATACATAAGATCTTATGTGGATTACCAACAGGAAAACTGGGTGGATCTGCTGCCGTTCGCAGAAGTGGCTTACAACAACGCCGTGGATAGTAGCACTGGATTAACCCCCTTTCAGATCACCAGCAGCATGGACTTTGTTCCCATACCCGAGCTGCCGAGAGAGCCACCCTCCTCCATGACTCTAGCCAAATGGATGGAGTTGTTTCCGTATGGGGGATCGAGTTTACCTATCAACCAAATACATTAAATTGAAATTACCCAGCAAGAAACTTGGACATAAATTCTTAGGGCCAGTGACAGTTCAGCTTAACTTCCCATGCATACTAGGAAAAGTGCATCTAGTCTTTCACTGCAGCCTGCTGAAGCCAGCAGTTAGTTCAAGATTGAGACCACAGGCCCGACTAGCACCCAAGCCCATAGTGGTGCAAGGGGAGACCCATTACGAGGTTAAGAGGATTTTAGACTTTAGATTACACAGGGGTTGATTACAATATTTAGTTCATTGGAAAGGACACCTTTTGTCTGAGGCTACCTAGGTTAAGAGCTGGGATGTAAAGGCAGATAGATTTTTTTTTTTAATTTGATTTATATGCCGCCCTTCTCCGAAGACTCAGGGAGGCTTACAATGTGCTCAGCAATATTGCTGATTAGTAAAGTAATTCCATGATAAATTCCCTGATAAACCAAAGGATCCTCCGGGGTGGGGGGAGAGGTGGTTAGGGACTTACTGAATTAACCACCTACATTCCTCTTGTTCCAGGACATGATCATCAGTTGAGGGGGGGCGGGGTCTGGAGGCCATCTTTTCTTTTGGATCTTCAGGGTTGCCACACTTAGTCTGTGGGAAACTGGGAGGTGGTTTTTATGGAGTTGGTAAAAGTATTTAGCCATAACAACATTCTTTTCTCTGAGAGTCAAGGACATTCAGCCTGCACCTGCACCTGCACCTGCAACCTGCACAGCGTGACTGGGAGGCATCCCCAGTTGGGATGGTGGATTGATTGGACCATGTGATGGACATGTGGGTGCAGGGGTAGGAACTTCGACTTTCCCTTGGGTGGGAAAAACCCAGGAGCTTTCAGATTTGGGCTTTCCCAGATGTGCCAATATGACATCTCTACTAAAATGGAACTTTGAGGAACTGTTGGCCTTGGAGACTTCATTGGTTGGGGGTGTTACTTGGAACCCTGACAGTATGCTTCTTCATATTTCTGTGTGTGGTGACACAACAGATGGACTTTGTGGCAATTGTTGCTTGGAGCTATATATGTGGACAAGGCAAAAAAAAATAATGGATAACTGTAAATTTAGAGAACATTGTAAGATAGTGCTATATTTTTATTTTTATTTTTTTGTAATAGGAGACACATTGAAATAGCCTTCTTTCTAGCATTTTGTCTCACTTAGCCGAGTGTCTGTTTCTTTTAACTGCATTCACATTATTACATATGTACAGTGAAGTTAACAATGAATAATGCAATGAGGAGGTTGTTTCAGTTGGTTGTTGGAGAGCCTGGCATGGATTTAGGCTGGGAGGAAGAGAGTGGGGTTTACTGTAGATTAAAGTGTTTCAACCTTGTATGAGTCACTGCTGTGAGATGAGCAACTATAAACATTGTTTAAATAAATGAAAATAAAATAAAATGTTACATAGGCAACAAGATCATACCCCAAATTCCAGTTATGGGCTGTTCAGTTTGGAGGCTCACTATTTTTCTCTCAGTACAGTAAAATTAGGGAATGAATTCCAGATTGACCCTGAATTTATACAGCTCTAATAAGCATTCTTTTGCATAGTTGTCATAAAACATTAAAGCTTATAGTCCAACTGAAAAACATGTAAGAAGTATGAAGAAAAAACTGGCCATCACAGGATGAGATATATGGTTTATTAGCTCTGTAGCCAGGAAATGACATATTCCAGTCAGAGGAAATCCTCTTTTGGTAGAAGAAATTTAGACAATACTACCCAGCACATTCCTCCACGGACAAAATATATGAGCAGAGTATTGGTGGATTAAGAAGAAATGAAAAGAAACTAGCATCTGCAGACCAAAGGACATCTGTTTGATCAAAGAGATAAGGAGAATACCTAAGAGCTTTATTCTGTTAAATGTACATCTGTAATGGATCAACGAAACTTATTAGAAATAATGGTGAGCAGCAGCTCCTCCTCCCCCTCCTCCTCCCTAACTCAAACATTAAAATACAGATTTTTGCCTACTTAAATAGAGTGGTAATGTCAAAGTTTCAAAAATTTTAAAGTTTATTCTTCAGAAATTTATACCTCTATTTTGTAAATGGTGAAAAGGAAAATCAGACTGAATGAGGTGGATCATACATCATTAGAACATTTTAGGTCCCATGACAAAGGACTAGCAGGAATCAATTTTTTTTGGTATCTAAAAGGAAGCTCAGGACTATAACCTTCTGCACATTCCAGAAAAGCAAGTTATGATGAACAAAGAGCAAAATATATCTGTGTATATAATCACAATATTAATATCCTTCTACATATCCTTCTTTTCTTCTATTTATAATCAAAGAAATTAACTCCCTGATAAAAAATCAAGCAACTGACTATATCAGTTCCAAATCAAGTATCCAAAGTAGAGTGTGATTCTAAGTAGAGTCTCTGGTAAAGGTCTCCTGCTTATGTAAGTAAGAGGTTTCTGGGAGCATATAGGAGGAAAATGCCCAAGGGCTGTTGAAAGAGTCATCACATTGAACCTAACAAAACATGAAATCTTGAATTCCACCACTGGTGCTTCTACATCTGAAATAATGTTATGGGCTTAATTTCTCATATCAATTTAACCTCACATATTCAATAAATTCCATGTGGATTAGATCCTATCTGACTAGTTTAATTAAATTGTGAAGAAAACTGGCTGTCACAAACAAGGAAAAACCCTGATTGTCTAACAAATATGTAACTTAACAGAGCAAATATGACAGAATTTTTGGATTTTCTGAATTCCATCTCAGTACAGTTATGTAAAAAAAAAAAAGAAACAGCTGTACCTTTTTACTGTAGGAGCAATATTGTTATCAAGCTGCCTTCTCTATTGTTGAAAATATTATATTTGTTTTAAATATAGTTATTGGAAAAAGAGCGAGAGAGACAAGATCGAGAGGGAAAGAAAGAAAGAGAAAGAAAGAAAAAGAAAGAAAAAAGAAAGGAAAGATAGAAAAGGAAAAGAAAGAAAAGAGAAAAGAAAAAAAAGAAAAAAAGAAAAAAAAAAGAAAAAAAAAAGAGAGAAAGTCTGATATATGCCATACTAATTTCTACTTTCCTGACAGCATCACCGTCTGCAAAGAAATGGTACATATGAGAAAACAATCCTTTTTTCCCCCCTGCAAGGTGAAATACGGAGTGAAAAATTCAGTGCATTGAAAAGAAATGTCTGGCTAAGGAACAGGATAGCAAATCACTAAATTCACATGGAAAACACTCTCCTATCTACCATGGGCAGACATTATCAAGAAAGCAAATGAATAATGTCTTTGGAAAATGAAAGTTTTCAGGGTGTGGAAGAATAAAGGGAAAATAAGATTTAAATAAATAAAAGTTCTTTTTTTACTTACATGGCTTGAAAGAGTTCTGAACAGCTGGAGCCTCGACAATGTCTGCAGATGTTGTGTTCGGTTGAGCCTGCTCCCTCTCCCCCCTCAAACTTTGGCACCAACATTACTGTAATACTAAAACTTGATAAATAATTTCCTGGTTCCCCTTTTTGAAATTCTCACATATTTGATCACTGGTACACCCTAATGGCAGAAGAATGCAGACTAGATAAGGCAGCCTCCTTGAGGAACACAGCCTCTCTGGCTGCCTTGGTCTAAAGGAGAGATTCTCTCAGTTACATTGCCCACTCCCCCCAAATATTATACCTTGGATCAGTGCTGAATGAATAGTTCTGCAATAATACATGAACAAGCCATTGCAGTATAACACTGTGGCATTTACCATGTGAATCGTAGACACAAGAGAAACTCTGTCCCAGAGGAAGATTGGGTGTCCCTAACTGAGAATGTAGAGCATTTGGGAATCATCTAACTTAATCTGGAATTTAGTTGAACAAAGTAGGTGAATTATGAAGACAAGGAGAGATCATATTGAATGTAAGCATGGATAAGTTCTACCTCTCTGGTCTTCAAAAATGCAATTGCTTCTCAACAGAGATTTGAATATAGCGACGCATACACACTTCTGTCTATAAGGTGAGCATGACTGCTAGAAAGGCCTTATGGTTTTGGTGACAAACAGCACAATCAGGAGTGCTCATCACTGCCATAAAAAGTTCTTTTACACTCCAGTATTCTACCTGCAGCATGCACAGGTCTGAATCAATCTTTCTGCACGTTAAAGTTAAAAATTAATAAATATTTCCTACTCACCATTCTCTTTAATCACTACCAACCCAGAAGGTAAGCTGTCCTTACCTGCAAATATCCTTATCTGCATATTTACTGTACCAACCTGCCTGTTTTCTGTTTGATTTTACAAACCAGTCTTATTATTCCAGTCACTTTCCATCACTTGTCAATTTCACAATTAAAAATTAGCCAGGCCCAATTTTCTCTGCTTTTATAAGTAGCATGAAATTTTAGATGTTGATTGGGGTGTATTGATGGCTGGTTCTTTAAGTCATTAGCTGTCATTTGCTTGTGCTGCTCAGCCCTCATCTTCTAAATACTTGCCACTTACAACAGGTACTATAAATACTACACACAAAAGAGCACAAAATATGCTAGAGAGAGATTCCCCGAAGATGGGCTCCTGCAGAAATCTGAAAACTTGGAAGACAAAACCTCTGGTCTTGGTGATCAACCCAGATTGGATCCTGCATCAACAATTAAGCCTATTTTCGGTAGTCAAATCAGAATCATAGAGAAGAGAAGAGAAGAGAAGAGAAGAGAAGAGAAGAGAAGAGAAGAGAAGAGAAGAGAAGGGAAGGGAAGGGAAGGGAAGGGAAGAGAAGAGAAGAGAAGAGAAGGAACCAACCTTGGAGATCTTCTAGTCCAACCCCCTGCTCAAGCATGAGAACCTATACTATTTCAGTTAACTGACTGATTACAGTTTACAGATTAACAGAGTTGGAAGGGACCTCGTAGGTCATCTGGTCCACCCTCCCACCCAAGCAGGAGACCCTACACCATTTCTGACAAATGGCAGTCCAATCTCCTCTTCTTTTTTTAAAAAAACAAATTTTATTAGAAATTTTCCTTTTACATACATATTTTATGAACTGAGTATTGACTGGGTCTAATCTTATACAATTTATAACATAATTATATATATTTTATAATCTATTCCAATCTTCTTTTTTGGTTTTTCCAAATACAATTTACTTATTTCAATTTCTGCCATAATATTCTTTTTTCTCTACTTTTTTATTTTATTGTAATCTCTTCTTAAAACATACTGTATAAACAATATTACCATCCGCCCTTCACATACTAATTCTTTACATTACTTCAATTAATTATCTTATTTCTCCATATAAACAACATACTTCATTCTATTCAATTTTTATATTGAACCCCTTTAACTTAAACAATATCACTTCCCATCCTTAATTCCTGATTTCTTATTGTAACATTATTAATTATCTTATTTCATCACTTAAAACACTTCATTTAATTTCTATTCTTTCATAAATGGACCATATTATCACTTCATATTTCATCTATTTGTTTTTTACTAAACAATATACATCATCATTTTTATTTTTTACATCACATTTTTTACTATAAACAATGTACTTCATCTTATTCTATTTTTACATTGAAATCACACTTTTTTACTTTTCATGTTTATCTCATAATTTCAGATATTTTCATACACAATATATATCATCATTTTTATTTATTACATTCACAATTACTGATGTTAATGCAATTCTCTTAAATCTATAAATATATACCTTATTTCCCTTCCTCCTTTCCTCTGTTCTTCCCCTTTTACCCATTTTCTCTTGGTCCCTCCAGAATTCCACTTCTTAATGTTTTTCTCCCTTTATCCCAATCTCTTGTCGTTGTCTTCTTCTTTTATTATTTTTATATTTATTATATCTTTTCTCCTGAATCCTTTCTCTTACTTTTAAGTCTTTTACTCCCATAATTTGCCCCAAGTTTTTATCTAGTCTATTCCCATTTCTTTCTCTTACCTTTGACTGTTTCTTTTTTGGAAAATATTTCCCCCTCTCCATTCTCTTTTTTTCACTGTTAATCCCAATATAATTATTTAGCTTTTTTTTTAACCTAATCTCTTTCCTTTTCCTTTTCTCCCCTTTGCTCGCTTCTTTTTTTAGAAAATATTTCCTGCTGTCCCTTCTTTTTTCCCCACCATTAATCCCAATATAATCATTTAACTTTTCATCTTCAATATTTTTCTCTTCAACCTTGCATTCTTGCTTCTCATTTTTATTTTTGTTATCCTTTTTTTTATTTTCTTCTAGCCAGGCTTCTGCTTTTTTATTACCCCTAAATGCTTCACACATATTTTTAAGCATCTCTATTAATTCCTCATATTCCCCCTGCTCCATGTTGTCTTTTCAAAAAAAAAAAAAAGTTTTTAATTCAAAATAATATTCAGTTCAAGTATTTTTCTAATCCACTCCAGTTTAAAGTTTTGTTGCTTTTCACCTCCTTTCAAAGTCGAGACCCAACAGTTCCAAAAGAAACAAATACTCCTTAAATTTTCTCACAGTCATCAAGGCCATTAAAGTTTCAATTTTCAAAACAATTGTTGTAGTTGTAGTAATTTCCTTCCACCAGCAGATGTCTCTCTCCAATCCACAATTCCCAAAGCAACAAAGTATCACATTTGTCAAAAAACCCTTTTAAATCCACATAAAAAATACTTTCTCTTTGGTTTCTTTTCTTTTTACTTTTTTAAGTTTCTCCAAATTCTCCAGATAGAAGTTTTTCTTTTTGGGCTTTAGTACTTTAACTTCCTCTTTGTTCTTCTCCCTCCATTAAAATTCCCAAATGACAATTAGCTGCTTATTTCCACGCCGGGACCACTTTTAAGATTTTTTTAAAAAGTTCCTTTTACCTGTGAGTTAGCCAATCACTCACCCGGTACCATTCAAACACCACTCCTGCACAAATCTTAGTCCAGTTGCCCCAGCTTCAGAGTGGTCATAATGGCTGCCACCAGGGGTGGGTTCTACTTACCTTTACTACTGGTTTGCAACAGGGCCGCACGCACGCTCTTCTGCGCATGCACAGAAGCCTTTTCATGACATCAAGGTCAGTGGGCGGAGCTTGCTACCGGTTCTATAGAACTGGTGCGAACTGGGGGCAACCCACCACTGGCTGCCACCCCCGCCGCTGGTTCAAAGAGCTTGCCTCCGACCAGGGCTGGATTTTCCTATAGGCTAACTAGGCTTCAGCCTAGGGCCTCAAGATCAAGAGGGGGCCTCAAGATCAAGAGGGGCCTACATTCAAATTGTTAGCAAAATTAAAATTACACTTTCACTATAGGTGAAAGGGCCTCATAAGTGGAATAGCCTAGGGCCTCTTTTCATCTAAATCCGGCCCTGCCTCCGACCCTTCAAGGAACTTGCCTGTTCCTCTTGGTTGTCCGAGACACCTCTCCTTCTTCACGTCCCTACAAGACGGTTCCGGTCCGAAGACCCCCCAACAGCAGTTTGTCTGGCTGGATTTTCACGAGGCTCGTCAGAGCCTGCTATTTTCCAGCTAGTCTCGCTGCGATGCTTCCGATCCAGTACAATCTCTTCTTGAAAGCCTCCAGGATGAAGCTCCCACAACTTCCAAAGCTGTTCCATTGGTTGATTGTTTTCACTGTCAGAAAAATTCTCATTATTTCTAGGTTGAATCCCTCCTTGATCAGTTTCCATCCATTATTCCTTGTCTGGCCTTCAGATGCCTTGGAAAACAGCTTGATCCCTTCCTCTCTGTGGCAGCCCCTCAAATATTGAAACATATCATGTCTCCCCTGGTCCTAGAAATTCATGCATTTCTTGCATTTCCCGGGGCATCATGGCATACAGTTTGGGTTTGGGTAGTTTTGGCCCCAGGGATGATTTTGATGGCACAGTCTGTCTCGTGGTGGGGAGGTAGGACGTTGCACTTGGCCTTGCTGAACACTTCCATGAGGTGATATTCTGATATTCTCTGGGTGATAATCCCCTGATATTCTCTGGGGATTTGTTCAGTCTCTGGGGTTTTGTCAGAGGTGGCTGCCAGTTGTTCTGGTGGGGCCTTTGGGAGGGTTTCCTGCGTGGATGATACTTCTGTTTGCTGGTGTGGAGAGGGTTGGTGTCCTCTTGCTATCCTCAGCCTCTGGTTGCCCCCTTGCCACCAGATGGTCGGGCCCCACTTGTCTAGCCAGGAGAGCCCCAGTATGATCGCATCTGTCATTTTGGGGACTATTATGAATTGAATTGCCTCCCAGTGTTTTGCTAGCTCTAGCTTCACTGGTTTGGTCAGGTGGGTAGTGTAGGCTTCCCCCAATAGGGACCCATCGACTTGTTCGAACCTGATTGGGTGAGCCAGTCTTTTCTCTCTAATCCCCAGTTTCAGGGCCGTGGTTAGGTTAATCAAGCATCTAGTGCAGCCTGAGTCTATTAGGGCATGAAAAGTACCCTGGGTTCCTGTTTTTGGGGCTGTGAGGTGTATTGGGAAGATGAAGAGGTGGATCGGTTCACTCACCATTGGATCATTTTTGCCTTTGTCCTAGGGACATAGGGATCCGGTGATTGGTTGTCGTTAGCTGGTTCCCCACCCCTTTGGCTGGGTGCGAAGGGACTTCTATGGCCTGGAGGATTTTTTAGGACATGTCGGCAGCATACTTGGGGCCTCGTTCCAGTCGTGCCCTGGGTGGTGGCTCTGGCTTGGGTTTCAGAGCTGGGGTCACACATGCCAATGCAATGTGATCTATCCCTCCGCATCTGTAGCATTTCAGCTGGCTTCGTGGAAAA